CGGGCAGCAGACAAAGCCGCCGGACAGAGGGGCCGCTGGGCTGCGCGGGCAGGACGGGCCCTGCCCCTGCCCATCCTGGGGCCCTGCTTGCCCTCGCCCCCGGGACGGCAGGAGCATAGCTGCCCGCCCTGGGGGCCGGAGTTTTCGGGGTCTGGAGTCGTGGGGAGAAGCTGGTAGCTCCGGGGGGACTGCCAGGAGCATCTGCATGTACAAAATGTTCTTATTAGCGGTGAATGCTAGCAGCGTGTTGGGCTAAAGCATGACTGTGCAGTTTCTGAACGTGTTTGTGACCCTCCTTTTAAACGATACAAGCATGGAAGAAAAGAGCTTTAGCTGCTGCTGAGTTGTCCAGAGCCAGATGAGGGTGGCGAGGTGTTGGCATGAGCAGGTTAATTGCTCTTGGTCCTGGGTTTGTGGCCTGTGAGCCAGTGGCTGCTGCATTTCTAGCAAATTGCGGGACAGAGGAGTTAGCTCTGAATGTCACAGACCTTTGGGTCTTAGGGCTGTTGCAGTTTTAGTGCTTCAAGATGATTCTTGGGTGTACATATAACAAAACAAAGTGTCTCAAAATAATCAAATGTGTCAAAGATGATTCCCTCCCCTCCAGGAAAACAGCTTGGTTTGTTCAAGTGTAAATGCTAATCCCACACATCCAGGAGCCTTTCTGTTCCCTGCCTCGGCTCTGCCTCTTCTTTGCTTGCTGATATGGCTGCTTGATGTTTTGTTGTCTGCTTCCTGTTGCACAGCAAGCAGATGTTTCTTGCACAGTGGGATAAGAACAGATTTTGGGAGATGCCTCTGATTTCAGGCCTGAGCTTAAACCTGGGAGGTTTTCCTAAGGTTGGATATGCTTTTTCCAGGGTTGATACTGCTAAGTGTTGCCCCAGGGCTCCCGCCTGTTGACAGAATGTTCTTTACAAGGGACTGCAGAAATAGTTCATGGTGTTCAGACTGCTGCCAGCTTGGGCAGGGAGGGCAGCACACGGCTGCCATCCCTCTAACCTCGTGGGGTGTCTTGGCCTGGGTAGCTGGCAGCTAGGCAGCACGCTGGGTGCATGCTGGAGCCTGAGCCATCTGTGGTCCCTCCGAGGCTCCTGATGTGGGCCCAGGTCTGTGGTCAGAAGTGCTGTGGTGCAGTTTACCCAGTGAGAGGGGCAGAGGCTGCAGGCTCACGCCCAAGACTGGGGTGCTGCAGTCCCGGCAGACCTTTGCACAGAGAACACTGTACCTTGCTCTGGTGCGTGGAGAGCAAGGGTGTGATGTCTTCTGCCAGCCTGGCGTTTGTTTCAGATTGCCTTGTCCTCTGTTTGACTTTAGGTTGGTGATAAGGTAATGGTCCTGGCTAGGTCAGGGCTCTGGCAAGAAGTGGTGAATGTGCCAGCCAGTCAGACTTTCTTGATGCCTGAGGGGATGAGCTTTGAGGAAGCTGCTGCTCTTCCTGTCAACTACATCACTGCCTACATGATCCTGTTTGACTTTGGAAACCTGAGACCCAACCAGAGTGTCCTCATCCACATGGCTGCAGGTAAATAGTTCTTGCCAGCCTGTGCTGAGCCTCAGGCCTCAACGTGCAGCTTCTGGACGGGTGGCACAGGGGAGGAAACCACTGAAGCGGGGTTGGACTGACAAAACACTGCCTGCCAGAGATGCAGGCTTCACACTGACCCCGGTGCTGGCAAATGCTGAAATGCAACCCATTTCCCAGCAGGTGGGGTCAGCCTCCCCAGCAGTGCCACAGGCCTCAGCCTGCCTCAGGCCAGGCGATTCCCGGGAGAAGGGCGGTGCCGTCCCCTCCCGGCGCTGTGTGCTCAGCACACGGGCAATTTACCTCTCTGGAGACACTTCTGACTGCTGGGGCTGTTTGCTTCTAAGGCCTTCTTGCTGCTGGTTTTCAGGTGGTGTGGGAACTGCTGCCATCCAGCTGTGTAAGACTGTAGAAAATGTCACCATTTTTGGCACAGCATCTGCCGCCAAGCATGATTCACTCAAGGAGAGTGGGGTCGCTCACCCTATTGACTACAGAACAATGGATTATGCAGAGGAGGTCCGGAAAATCTCTCCCAAAGGTACCATGTGGTGGAGGACTTCTGCTACTGTTCTGCATTTATTTCAAGTGCAAAGAAACTTTAGGTACTTTTGATTCCCTCTAGGTGTTGATATTGTCCTGGACCCCCTGGGAGGATCCGATACGTCCAAAGCATTTAACCTGTTGAAGCCAATGGGCAAAGTCATCACTTACGGTGAGTGTGAGCAGCATGCCCAAACCCAGCCCCACGCAGGAGAAACCACGGGATCCAAGGGTGGCCGTGGATCCACGCAGGAACGCTCCACGGCTCGCTGCTGTGAGGGAGCAGCACTGTTGTAGGCTGCTGTGTCTGTCCTAGTTCTGCTGCTTCACGAAGGTCTTTGGGATGCTTCACCTGGGTACTGAGGCACTGAGGGGAGTGAGATTTGTGCCGTTTCCTGAGAGCTTTGGTCACAGGCTCCAAGGCTCTTCCCTCCCATGGCGAGATCAAGTATGAGCTGGTGCCTGCAGGGGAAGCTGGAATGTCCTCACAGAGCAACACTGGTACAGCTGCTTTGTCCAGGCTGACTTAATGCACAGCGCTAATAGAGCCTTGGTTTTCTTCTAGAGGGTGTGTGGGTGATGAGGTTTGAGGCTACTGAATACTTATCTCTCCATTCCCCAGCTCTGAAACACTGTGATTTTGTCCCATAGACAAAGACCTCACACAGCCCCCAGTGGGATTCCAGACACTTGCACCAGTGTGTTGCTTCTGTTGTCCCAGACATTGCAGCATGTGGCTCCCCTGAAGAAGCTGGGCTGTAGGAGAGGGGGAGTGCTGTCCTGCCAGACAGGCTGGATGTGACTTGTAACCCTGTCTTGCCCCTGCCAGCACTCCAGCCTAGGTGCACTGCCACTGCCCTCCTAGGAGAGGTGGTGTTCTATTTTTTTTTTTTTCAGTATATGAGTGCCAATAATCCAAACGTTGCATGTCTTGAGGCCAAGGCTGGTGCCTGCTTCCATTGAAGGTTGACTGGGCAGATCCTGAGGTGATCCAGGTCTCACCTCTGACCTCCATCACTGAGCAGCTGTTACCCTGCATATTGCCTGAGCTGTTAGGTGGATGCCCGCTGCCTCTCACGTTGTGTTGATTCCAGCTCATCTGTGGGTTGCCTTCTTTTTAGGGGTAGCAAACCTGCTCACTGGACAGAAGAAGAACCTCATGGCTATGGCTAAAACCTGGTGGAACCAGTTCAGCATCAATGCCTTGCAGCTCCTGCACCACAATAAGGCTGTGTGCGGCTACCACCTTGGATATATCACTGAAGAATATGAGCTTGTTGGAGGTGTCGTAGCCAAGCTGCTTGACCTGTACAGTCAAGGCAAAATCAAGCCCAAAATAGACTCTGTATGGCCCTTTGATCAGGTGAGTCTGAGCTAACGTTCAGGCTGTCAGCACACAGAGATTACTGGGTGATTTGTTTCCTGTACAGTGAGGTCTGTTTCAGTGTGAGCAGCCTGTTTGTGGGGGCTGAACTGTCACAGATGTTTAATAACCATCTGTTCTCACATATTCATTGCCTTTTTCCTTTTAAGCCATTAAGGAAGAATAAAGTGGCTGGGCTGTTCTGCTCCAGTGCACAGTGCTGGGCAGTGCCAGACAGCATCCTTGTGGAATAGGGCAGGTGCTCAGCTGTGCTCCGTGGGCAGCAGCAGCCCAGGGAGAGCCTGGGTTATGCATCAGACTGAAGCCTGCCCCATGTCTGCAGCCTGTCATTAAGCAGACGGCTGGGAAGGTTCCTGCTGCCCTTCTACCAGTGAAAAAGAGCCCAGACAGTGAAGCAGAAGGAGGATGTTTGAAGGGAGCAGCACATTTTTCAGCAGCTCTGCTATGCTCAATGTTGTATCGATGTGCACAGGCAGTGTCAGGTTCTTTCCTTGGAAGTCCTTTGCTGGGGTAGGACTAACTGCAGGGAGCAAGAGGATTTAGTAATGACCAGTTGGTGTTAGTACCCAAGAACAAGTCTGATGCAAATGCTTAGGGAAGACTCTGTTGATTCCAGGCCTGGCCCGGGTGCTGTTTTACTTATAAATAATAAAATTCTGTGCATGTATTGTTCTGTGGTTGTGTAGGTGGTAGAAGCGTTGTCCTTCCGGCCGCTGGCTGGACTTCTGCAGTGCTCTGCTCTGTCTGGAGAGGCAGCTGTGGAGACACACCCTTCACTCTTCCACGATTTGCATAGCAGAGCATCCTGCTGTATGCTACCGCTCGCCTGTGTGAATTCTTGAGGACAGTTTCCTATGGCAGACTGGGGTAGCTGCCCAAAATGCCTCTCTGCAGAGGCACCTGGGTGATTGGCACTTGCTTGAACTTCCAGGAAAACTGCCTTCTGGGTGGCCTTTAGACTAGTCTGAGTGGACCAAGGGGCCTGGGAAGGGCTTGGCTGCTGTGTGGTGGGTGTGAGTCTCACAAGATTCCTGTTGCTTCCAGGTGGCAGATGCCATGAGGCAGATGCAAGAGAAGAAGAATGTTGGAAAGGTCATTCTGGTTCCTGAAGCACCCAAGGAAGAATCCAAAAAAGAAGAAAACTGAAGAGAAGAAACGTGTGAAGATTGTGCATTCATGGTTTAACTCCCTGATCTCTTTGGGACCTGGAAATGGACAGATCAGTAGCTTCCATCTTCACCAGTACAAGAACATCATGATTAAAGTTCAGATGAGGTTTGCATGCTCTCCTTGTGACTGACCCTTTGCCAGACACACCACCTGCCCTAGCTTGCTGTGTTAAAGCCTGTTTATTTTGTACATTTTTCTAATAATTTTTTTCTCTACTGAATTTCCAAACTAACCTGATTTTTTTTTTTTCTCTGGCAGTGCAGCTGAAGCTTCCAGGGAGTTGGTGGTTAACAGCTGCATAGCTTGTCACTGTAAAGTCAGGCTGTAACATACTGTGGCAACTACCAAGTATCTCCACAGAAACTGAGCCCTGCTGAAGCGTTTGCATTGTCACTCAGCAGGAGAGTGAGCCTGTTTCCCCAAGAGCCAGAGGAAGAGCACGGCTGGCCTAGATTAGTTCTAGCGTGGCCTACTCGTATGTTTTTGCTAACCTTGCTCTTTCCTCTCTGCTTTTGTAGGCTCTGAGGCCAGTCAGATAGTAACAGGTCACGTTGTCTTTGCCTTGTAAATGACTATCCTGGCATTTTGGAGTCTATGGCATATTGCACTTAAATTGCAGTCACTTTTCTGTACAGTTGGTAAATAACCTGTCAGGCTGATCTGGTCTGGGTCTGAATACAGAAGAAAAGTTTCAATTTGGTAACTTGATCCTGTCCATTTTCTGATCCCAAACTGTATAGGAAGATGTAAACTGTGGCTTGATTTTTTTTTTTTTTTAGAGACCATAAGGACTCAACTGTGTCTCAAAAGACTGGAACAATTGATGTTGGCTCTGTGCTTTATTAATGTTGGGCTCCAGGCTGGTATCGTTGAGACTAAACTTCACCCTCATGTTTGTATTTCCAAGGGCTGCAGTGTTCA